GAAAGGTCAGAACTGGAGGGATAGCTCTGACTGCTGGTGGCACGGCACGACGTTAGGAGTTGTAGTCAAACATATGTGAGCTCAGGACCTGACGCTATCCCTCCCTGCCCAGGTGGCCAATTCATTCGCCCTCTCTGGCCCTTATTGATTCAGTCTGTCAGATGGGTCTTTAACCTGCCACCTTCCCAGAATCAAAGGTGAGGACCTGGCTGGAAGTGAAAGTGCTCTGCTGGCGGCACAGCTCTGGCCACGGCATGTGGGTTGCTGGAGACCCTCTGCTCTGCATGTCAGAACCACCGCCACCGAGCATGGCAGTGTGGCCTGCCCGGGTGATGTCAGTGGGTCCCAAGCCTTCCAGTGTCCTTTGGCCACAGGGTGCAGTCACTGGCTGTGAATAAGCACACGAGGCACAACTGGCTTGTGTGGTCTGTGAAGTCACTGCTGACTTTTTCTCCCACAAGCAAACCCCTTCTTCCTTCACGCTTTCCCAGGGCCTGCTGAGCAAGATACCTCCTGGGTCACAAGGTCTGGGAGCTGCCACTACAGCACAGAGCCTCCTCATCTCCAGTCTTCTCTGTCCCTTCTCCCTACCATCTTACCAGTTAGGGCTGCAGGTTTTCCCTACCCTCAAGCACAGTGGAGATTTATGGAAGCAGACGTGGCCCCTGAAAGCTGAGCCAGGCTCACTGTGGCAACACCTCGGACAGTTCTGTGCCCGCGGGCCTGCCTTCCCTCCTAGGTCCTATGGAGCCAGATTACCATCCAGTCTCCTGATCTGAGGCAGCCATGAACACTAAATCAGTCAATACTGACCCACTGGCTCCTAGGGAACATGCAGGGTTAGGGCCCTCTGATCACTAATTGATTCAGCAACTGATCAATTAACAACCTTGCTGTATGTGTGCTTCTCTTTTAAGATACCTTATTTAAGGCCAGATTCGGTGGCTCATGCCTGTAATCTCATCACTTTGGGAGGCCAAGGCAGGCAGATTACTTGAGGTCAGGAGTTCAAGACCAACCTGGCTAACATCACAGAACCCCATCTCTACTAAAAATACAAAAATTGACCAGGCGTGGTGGCAGGCATCTGTAATCCCAGCTACTTGGGAGACTAAGGCTGAAGAATCACTTGAACCCAGAGGGCAGAGGTTGCAATGAGCTAAAATCACGCCACTGCACTCCAGCCTGGGCAACAGAGCAAGACTCTGTCTCAAAAAAAAAAACAAAAAACAAAAAAACAAGATACCTTATTTAATATATAGCTTATTCACTAATGTTGAACTCATGGCCAACAACAATCAACGTTGAATGAAGCTTCTCTAACACACGCATTTTCTCCATGAAGTACATCACAGTCATCTTGTGCCTGGGACAGACAGCACCTCAGCCCAGGGCCATTTAAATCACTGACTAAAAGCACAAACAATGTAAAACACACAGCACCAACTAGACTGCAAAAAGGACACTTCTTTACAGTGAGGACTAACACAGGAAGGTGAAGGTGGACCATCGCCTCGTCCAACCTCAGCTGTTGGAAACGTGGGTCAGCTAAGGGACTTTTCACCACTCTGAGAATGTCAGTCACTAACCTGGAAGTATCGCGAGTACTGATTTTGAGGTTACAAATAAATTTCAGTGAGTAAGTGAATCTGTAAATAATGACAATGGTCTGGACCAGGAAAACTGTTACATGCCAGGAGTTATGGTGATCCGGCCGCCTCCCCTGCCTCAAGCGAGCGATCTGCTTCTGTAAGTCACTGTCTTCAAATTCCAGAGCTGGCAGAGTCCTTTCCAGGGAAGTGACTCCAGGGACGACCAGGGGAGGGGGAATGCAGGAGGCGAGCACTCAGCCTGGGTCGCCCATGCCCCAACGTGGCGTCCGCCACCTCTGAGTTGCCACTGGTTTTCCTAATTCTGCACGACCCTAGATCAGTGATATAATGGCACCAACGGCTCAACAGCACTGGTTTCAGCAGAAGGAGTGTGATGACAGCCTGCGTGTGCCCTGCATCCTACAGTTTATTTATTTATTTATTCATTTATTTTTGAGATGGAGTTTTGCTCTTGTCGCTCAGGCTGGAGTGCAATGGCACCATCTCGGCTCACTGCAACCTTGGCCTCCCAGGTTCAAACGATCCTCCCACCTCAGCCTCCCGAGTAGCTGGGATTACACGCATGCACCACCACGTCCAGCTGATTTATTAATTTTATTTTTTAGTAGAGATGGGGTGTCACCATGTTGGCCAGGCTGGTCTCAAACTCCTGACCTTAGGAGATCCGCCCGCCTCGGCCTTCCAAAGTGCTGGGATTACAGGCGTGAGCCACCGTGCCCAGCCTACACTAGTTTATAAAGCCCTTTCACCCATTGTCTTTTCAGATCCTCATGGCAACTTTATAAGGTGGGGACAACCTCAGCTTAGTTGCAAACTTCAGTCTTCGTTTTCAACCAAAACTTGAGACTCTAGTGGCTAGATGACTCAAACCCAGCCCCTCTAACAGAGCCCACGTCCTCCTTCCGGATAAGCCCTCATCCTTATCCTTAGCCTGGCCCTGCACAAGGATTCTCCCCACTATGTTACAAATGCAGAAACTGAGGGAACCAGGGGGTCTCCTGGTGAACAGCTAAGAAAGCAACTTAGGCTTTCAAACCTCCCCTTCCCCGAACTTCTGAGTCCCCCACGGGGGCAGGGTGCTCACAGGGGCCACTCTGAGCCCTGAAGCACCCTCAGGGCTTCCTGGGATATCCTAAGAACCCCTAGAAGAACTTCGGACGAGGGCTTCATGCACAGGGGTTGTGGGGTCCGCTTCCCAGCCGAGTGCCAACTTAACATAATTTAATTATTTTCCATGGAGATGGTTCTTCAGAGGTACACTAAAAAGGAAGAGAAACGTTTATCTTTCAAGGCCTTTCACATGAATCCAATCACAATACGGGATGGGGGAAGACTTCCTCAGATTGGAGTTTCAAGAGCAGACTGGATTCCCCTTCCTGATGCACTGCCCACCTGGGTAAGTTACTTAAGCTCTCCACCTGCAGTTTCCTCATCAGTAAAATCAGAGCTGCTGCCTCCTATGGTTACCATGGAGACCAAATGAGCTCCCACGCAGTGCTCAGCAGTGCAACAGGCACTTAGAAACGATGAATGACAACTGCCACAGTGGTTCCTATGACAACTTGGAACATTTTCCATTAACCAGACCCCGAGAATAATCATGAATTAGATTTTAGAAGGCATTCCTTGAAACCCACTCCAATCCTTTTCTAAACCATTAAACCATACAAGTTAAGCAAGTCATGGTAAAACCCTAATTAAAATAGTTTATAGCCATTAAAAATGATGGTTCTGTATTAAATAGAGAAAAATGTCCAAGAGTCATGCCCCAAAAAAGTATATTAGCACAGCAGGACAAGAGGTGATTTATTTTTGAGGCGGAATCTCACTGTCACCCAGGTTGAAGTGCAGTGGCGTGATCTTGGCTCACTGCAACCTCCATTTCCTGGACTCAAGTCACCCTCCTGCCTCAGCCTCCTGAGTAGCTGGAACCATAGACATGGACAGCCACACCCAGCTAATTTTTGTATTTTTGGTAGAGACGAGTTTCACCATGTTGCCCAGGCTGGTCTCGCACTCCTGAGATCCAGCAATCCCCCAGCCTTGGCCTCCCAAAGTGCTGGGATTACAGGCATGGACCACCTCTCCCCGGCCAAGAAATGATTTTGAGAAGGCGATTCTACCAGAGCTACAAGAAACAGGCAGCAAGCTTCAGGGCTACTCACACAATTTTAGAGCCCAAGAAATATGCCAATTCTTTTTCACAAGGAGGCATAGTATTGATTTCAAAGACCACACACACAGAAAATGACAGGCTAATCTCACTTATGGATGTCAAGACAAAAATCTTCAATATAGTATTTAAAAGAATCCATTAACTTATTAAAAATATATGCCATTGGCCAAGCAAGATTTAATCAGGAATAAAGAATGGTTTAGGTCGGGCTCGATGGTTCATGTCTTTAATCCCAGCACTTTGATCATTATGTTCACAAAACTAACTATAAGACATTCACAGAACAGAATGGTATGCAGCAAGTAAAACAATTGAAGCAACTCTATCTGTTCTGAAAAGGAAAGTTCTCTAGGATAAATGAAGTGAAAAATGGAGAGCAGACCAATATTAGAGGTTTTTCTCATTAAAGCCAATCACTGAAGATGACTCAGACGCTTGCTATGCACAGAGCATGCCCAAAAGTGCGGACTGGTGGGCTGGGAGGTTAGAGCCTGTGGAAGAGAAGGGAGGTGAGGAAGCCAGATTGTCAGGGTCCATCCTGGCTCCAGCAGTTCTGGTCATGTGACAGACAAATCCCAAACTTCTTGGTGCCTGTTTCTTGACTTGCAAAATGGCAGTAACAATGGTATCTACCTCCTGGGTTGTTGAGAGTTTAAGTTAGTCCATCCACATGAAGCCTTTAAAATTGTGCTGGCACCAAGCCAGCACCTAGAATCAGTACGAGATAAGCACCCAGGGTCAGCACTGAGCCAGCACCCAGGATCAGCACGAGAGGGGCACCCAAGGTCAGCACTGAGCCAGCACCCAAGATCAGCCCCAGATAAGTAACCAGAGTCAACACTGAGCCAGCACCCAGGATCAGCACCAGATGAACACCAAGGGTCAGCACTGAGCCAGCACCCAGGGTCAGCACCCAGGGTGGGAAAGTATTTACATTATTACTAGTGTCCTCTTGGCCTCTGGAGAGAAACTATGGAAGAGAAAGAAGACTCCGTGTTTTCATTAAGAACCTTCTCATACCTTTCATATTTCATACCCTGAGCAAGTTTACCTATACAAAAAGTAATCAAAATATTTTTAACAATGCAATCACTTGGAAAAATGCTCATGGTGGAGGAAAAAAGCCAGGACACAAAATTACACGTAAATACTTAAGGGAAGGAAACTGTCTATTTTTAAAAATGCCTAGCAGGAAAGACCGAAGGAATGACAGGAAACATGCCCAGCGTAGGGTGAAGGGTGGTGCAGTACACAGATCCTCATCCTGCAAACAAAGACAAGGACGGGCGGAGCTAGAATGACTTTATCTCGTTTTTCAAATATTCTGCGGCATGTTTACAAATACACCCAGGCTTCCCGAGTGCCAGGCGTGGCACTAAACACTGGAGCCTGGCATTCTTGATCTCACAACTGAAGCAGGTTTTATTTTACAAATGAGGACGCGGCAGGAGGGAGAGACTGCCCGGCTCCACGGCTGGCTGGAGTTGGCGCTTGAACCCAGTCATCCTCGCATCAGTTTCCCAGTGCCCCTCAGCAGAGCACGGAGGCGAGCAGGATCTCATGCCATCCCCGCCCCGCCGCCAGAGCTCAGAGGAAGCAGGATTTGTTGGTAAGTAACACAGACAGAAGTGAGATGGTGGCTGTGGCAGGGGCCAGGAGGGAAGGAGGTGGCTGGACAGGGAACGCCCGTCAGCTGGGGACTTAAGGAGAACTATGGGTCAAACAGGCAAACGTGGACAGAATTCAACGCTCCACTGGGGAGAGACGGGTGAGGCCAGAACGGTGGAGCAGCCCTGGGGCCAAGGACGTGGAGTGGGAAGCAGAGCTGGAGGGGCCGGGCCCTCCTTGGTGGGTCAGGGGTTCTATGTTATCCCCAGAGGGAAGGAGACCCCGAAGGGTTTGGTGGGGAGCGGCTGAGAAGGCATCTCTGCCATGGGGTAGCCTGCAGATGCCAGGTGCCTGTCCCGGGACTGTCTCGGTCAAGGGCCTCTCGAGAGCACACCGGGCTCAGCAACAGACTCCACTTGGCCCTGGCCACGGTTCAAAGGTGGGGGTCAACTGGCCTCTTTGGGGAGAGTCCAGGAGGCCCTTGGCCCTCTGGAAGCCTCTGCACCCAGGCAGCCAGGGCTGGATGAATAGGCTTCTGTGGCCCCTCAATAGGCCTTTCATCCACTGGTGCCTCCCAGAGCCTCTCCCAGGGCCTCTTCAGCTGAGGGCCTTCCTCCCTCAGGGCACAGAAGACAAAGGGAGGCCCCTGGCTGCCCTGACAAGGCACATGGAGGAGGGGAGCTGGACCATTGCATCCCCACGTGAGCCGGGCCAGGGCTGGGCCCTCTCCTCTGACCCAGGGAAGTGTGGGGTCTCCACAGCGCGAGCCTAAAACCCCTGCCTGGTTCCACATCTTCCTCAGGAAGAAGCCAAGCCTCCCTTGCCAGCCTGTCCAGGTAGCCCCCGACATCTACTGTGTGGTCCCCAATGTCCTGGCCAGCCTTGGCCCTTCTTCCGCAACCAAATGCCCTGTATCCCCCTGGAAGGCCTTGCTTCCTCTCACCAGGTCTTGACCACGCCACAGGGCACAGGACACTGGCACAGGGCCCACTCCCACTTGGCCCGTGCAAGTCAGCTCAGGCCAAGCTGACCTCTGCTGCCACCCCCTCCGGGTGCCCTCCTTGCCTCCCCACCCTGGCACTGGCTTCCCTGACGCAGCTGTGGCCCTCCAGGGCATCCCAGGTGCTGCCAGTGCCCACGCACACCTGACCATGTTGCCTCCCTTGATCTTCACAAAGATCCTGAGAGGTAAGAATAGTTCCCTTCATTTACCTGATGAGTGCCTTGGTGTGCAAAGCCTGAGCACCTGGTCTGCAGTCGCTCTGCTGGCATGGGGCAGGGCCAGGCCACAGCCCCACCCGCCCGCAGAGCCACTCCCAGCACCATGCTATGGGCTTGTCACACTGGTTCCTGACTACCCGTCCTGAGGGCTCCTCCCAACCCAAACAAGGCCCCTTGCTGGCAGGGCATCTGGGACCCAGCGCAGGCCAGTATCCACCGCAGGGTCAGTAAACGAAAACAAACACACACAGGACATGGCGAGCCCCATCCTCGCTGTGCTCAAAGAACACACGGCAGCCTCTCCACTCACCCCCCGCTGCCAGCAGGCAGAACTTTAGTCATGGGCCTTAAACTTACACAACGTAGTGAAATCCTTGAAGTGCTTTCGCAACCCCAGACCACATCTGTGACCTCCTCATTGCCTCATTTTACGGTTTAGGAAACCAAGGCCTTTAAGTCTGGGTACCCTGCAAGCTGGTGGGGGCTGGGCTTCATATCCAGTTCTGTGGGCCAGCTCTGCCCCAGGCACTGCGTGAGGTCCTGGGGAACAAAGGGGAATAAACCCTGACCCTGGCCTCGAAGTGCCTTGTATGGGTTGGAGGCTCTGCTGGATTGGAGCTCCCATAAAGCGTCCTTCATCGTCCTCCAAGCAGCAATTCCCACAAACCCCTGCCAACACCTGTGACCACTGCACCTGCCACCCACACCCCACAATTGTTTCCAGACAGTTTCAGTATCTCCTAAGCACCATCATCAAGCCGCAAAAGTGGCTCCAGATTCAAATTCCCATCTTCTGTGAGATCATCTTCATGGGGGCCTTATCCCAGCTCCTAACTCACTACTCTGCTCAGACGCAGAAAATGGCCTCCTATACAACCAGCTGACCGCTTCCTGAGTAATTTCTCAGGCGTCTCCTGATACCCACGCGAAGGTGCCCCATCTCGGCCAGGAGCCGGCACCACCAGCTTCCCCGCCCTTTCCTTCACTGCCTGGGCTTGAGGTCACCCAAGTGACCTCACTGCCTAGTCATCATTCCACGTCCTCCCACCTCCATGTCAACATGCTCTGTGGCTGGAAGTCACGAGGAAGTCACAGAACCCTGGAGCCTTGAGGCCCACCCACTCCAGCCAGCTCACGGTATCTGTAGAGATGCCAAACTCTGGTGGAGGAACTCGGGCCACGTGCTTCAGCCACTCCCTCACTTCTCCACTCCCTACTCACTGCGCAGGCCCTGAGTGGGAGCCAGACACACAGCTGGACCTGTCTGCCCAGTGCTACTCACCCCTGCACCCAACACCTGGCCCACGCAGGTGCTGTGTGTGCAGGCCCACAAGTACTAGGTGCAAGGCGATGATACACCACACAGCACAAGGACGCAAGGCACCTTCTGGGCCTTTCTGCTGCTCTGCCTTCCCGGGGGTCTTAGGCCCCTGCTCTCTGTAGGCAGCGTCCTCTCGGAAATGTCCACTCCTGCACTAACCCTCATTCCTCGCCCTCCTCTACTCTGACTTCTGAGACCCCCTTCATTGTGAAAACCAGGAGGGCTGGGCTCTCATACACTATGCCAGGTCAGGCCCACCCAGAAAAAAAGGGCATCAAACACCCTTCCCTGGAGAAAGGGGCACGTCTGAGCATGAGAAGGGCGACCCCAGCCTTGAGTCCAGGATAATGAGGACCAACACCCCCTGCTGCCATGGGACCCTGCACGAGTGCTCTGCCTAAGTCCCACTGTCTCCCTCTGCCAACAGGGACAATGCCCTTCTCGTCACCGGGCTGTCATCAGAATGAAACGCTGCCGACACCATACTGGCGGAAATGAAAACCCCTCCATAAAGGGACAGCAGTTGCTCTTGCTCTGACTGTCGCTGGGAGAGAACAGGCCCCACTGAACTTCAGGGAAGATCCTGGACGCAGAGCCTTCTTGTCGCAGCCTCTGATAGAGATGACCTCATCCCTGCACCCTGAAGCAGAACAGCAGCTCCGGCTGGGGCTGATTCATTGGGGTTTGCTGCGGGAGCTGAGCAGCAGCTAACGAACTCCCACTGTATGCGGAGGCAGCTCCGTCCTCCTCGGATCAGGAGAAACCTGGAATCCTAGATCCCCACACCCTGGCAGATGCGTTCTCAGGGATGGCCCGGGTCAGCACCAGCCAATGCAGACAGCCTGTGGGCTGCCAGGATGGACCTGCAGACAGAGCTGGGGGTGTGGGGCAGGAAACCGACGGCCCAAAGTGTGAAGTCACAGTTCTTCACAGGGTGGTGGGACAACAGGGTTCCGATTTCCATTTTGTGGGGCCAGAGTGGGATGTGATTCTTCTCGCTTGTCTTGTTTCCTTCAAACCCCAGCACACACAGCGCCAGCCTCCCTGAGCAGCTGCTCCTGCCTGTCCACAGTGCTTTTTACAAGTCGCTAGGTTTCAAGTGGTTGAGCGTGTGGACCGGTGAACATATGTCCCAAAACCTTGGCTGTGAGCAGTGGCCAGGTCAACCTTCTTCTCCCTACTTCATAAAAGGAAACTGAGGTACAGCTCTGCATGGCATGTTCTGAGGCTCTAGGTCTGACCCACGCTCCCTCCCCCAGGTAGAGACACAGCGGTAAGCAGTCCTACTCTGCAAAGAGGAGTGGAGCCCAGAGGGCTACAGTGACTTCCCTGAAGCCACTCATCAAATTACAGCGTGAACCTTCCCTGCCCTTTTCCTGCTGTCTCTACTCAGGAGAGGCCCTGTGTGGGGAATGCCTCACTCAAGGGCCAGCTCCCCAACAAATGATCACCTCTTCACCAAAAGGAGACCTCTCCACCCACGCCCTCCAAACGCCACCCTCGGCAGCTCCCCCTGCCACTCCCAGGGGCCTGCACCAAGGCATCCATCTATTTTGAGCTGGTGCAAAGGACGCAGAGCCAGAGCCCTGAAGGGGAGCTCAGGGAGCAAGAGAGGGACAGGAACTACACACGGGGGGCTGTGCAGTGTCATAGCACTGGGGCAGGAATCGACAGGTACCATCAAGAACAAGGGGGGCGGTGGCGGACTCCACCAACCGGTCAGGAAGAAGCCAAAGAAGGGCCCTAGAGCTGAGAGCTGAGCCCCCCACCCACACCCTCAACAACAGGGTGAGGAGGGTGATTCCAGGCAGAGTGTAGAGGGGCCCTCAGGGAACCCTCTCCAACAAGTCTCATGGCTGGAGCTCAGGGGGTCAGCGTGGGCAGGTCACCAAGGGTCTTGGACTATACACCTGGCAGACATTAAGAGGTTCTTAAAGGTGTGAGCATAGGCCAGGCGAGGTGTCACATGCCTGTAATCCTTGCACTTTGGGAGGCCAAGGCGGGTGGATCACCAGAGGTCAGGAGTTCAAGACCAGCCTGGCCAACATGGTGAAACCCCGTCTCTACTAAAAATACAAACATTTAGCCAGGAACGTTGGCAGGCACCTGTAATCTCAGCTATTCGGGAGGCTGAGACAGAATTGCTCTTGAACCGGGGGGTGGGGGGACAGTGCAGTGAGCTGAGATCGCGCCACTTCACTCCAGCCTGGGCTAAATATTAGAGTGAGACTCCGTGTCAAAAGAAAAGAAAAAAAGGTGTGAGCAGCAGGGTATGACAGTCAGGAATGTCCACAGTGGGGACATATGGGGCGATGCAGGTGGGGAGGGGAGATAGCCCAGGCACAGTCTGGCATAGGGGCAAGGGAGGGCTGACTCCTGAAGCATGCACAGGTCGGGCAGCAAGTCAAGTCTTGGTCAGGCTGAGCTGGAGGTGCCTGAGACACAGGTAGGAGCAGATGTCCCAGGGAAGCTGGTGATGGGGTTCAGGCCATGCTACCCCAAAATACGACATGCTGGCATTTGAGAAAACAGCAGAAGCAGAAAGGTCCTCTCACCCTCCCCCTGCCCTTCTCCCTGAAGCAGGTCATAAGACCCTCATGTGAGAGGCACCCTCTCTATGTCCAGAGGAAAAGAACATCCTCATCTCTGAAGACACAGGGATTTGCTGGGGAAGAATCTCAACAAAGAGGCCTCGATAAGCTTCACCAGTTCATTATCGCCAGATCACGTTTCTTTATCCAAACTCCTCCACAACTACCTGCTTCTTTATCAAACCTAGCATAGAAAATAAACAGTTGAGGCCGGGCGCGCTGCCCCACGCCTCTCATCCCAGCACTTTGGGAGACCGAGGTGGGTAGATCACCTGAGGTCAGGAGTTCAAGACAAGCCTGACCAACATGTTGAAACCCATCCCTAATCAAAATACATAAAAATGAGCCAGAAGCGGTGGTGGGCACCTATAACCCCAGCTACTCGGGAAGCTGAGGCAGGACAATCACTTGAACCCGGCAGGTGGAGATTGCAGTGAGCCAAGACTGCGCCACTGCACTCCGGCCTGGGTGACAGAGACTCTGGCTCAAAAAAAGAAAATACACATGTTCAGCCCTTTTCTTTGGATCTTCACGTCCGTATGAAGGCTCCTGTATCAAGTAAAGCTTCTATTAAATTACCCTTTTCTCTTGTTAACATGCCTTGTTACAGGAACCTCAGTCGTGAACCTAAGGTGAGAAGAAAGGTATTTTTCATCTCCTACGTTGGCAGTGGGGCCTGGAGATCGGAGGGGTGTCTGGACTGGTCCCAGCGGTGTGTGTGGACAGGATACACAGCTGGGGGGGTGGGCGAGTGGAGGCGGGGGAGCAGGAAGCCAGAGGCATCAACGATCACCCTGTACTGGCCTGCACCACACCCTCCCCAGTGAGCGCCAAGCTCCCAGGAGTCAGGATCAATCCTAATTCAGCACTGCATTTCCAGGGCTCAGTAAATACGACCTCCATGAATGATGCAATGGTGACTACAAATCCACAAAGTGTACCCTCAGGGGCAGAAACTGCAGAGAAGGAAAGAAATTAACAGGCACAAGGGTCTTGTAGGGTTGCTGGTGCTGGAAAGTGGCAAGGTGCCTATGAAGCAAGGTTTCAGAAAGAACTAGAAGGCAGAAGCCCAGCCCAGGGCCACCTCACCCAGGACCGCCTATCACTCCGAAGCCCGGTCTCCCTCTGTAAATGGGCACAACACCCCTCCTGCCTTCTGCTCAGCACTGCTGTGAGGACACACAAGGGTGTAAGGGCAGCACTTTTCTATCATAATTACACGGATAATCCACGCACTTCATGAAAAGTGAATTGGTATTCTGCTTTTCTCCCCTTTCTCTGCCATAAGCGTTGCTCAAAGTGTGAAAGGCATTTTTCAAGATTCAGAGCACACCCCAATACAAGGCATTTTTATATAAAGATACGGACACATGGAGGAAGGGAACTCTGCGGTTGCTCGCAGGCCTGGGTCTCCTCACCCGCACCACAGGGCAACAGGCGGCACTGCTGAGATCAGGCAGCCAGCCCTCCTGACTCGTTGCCCTGTGAGCCAGTCAGGGTTCACTCTGAGCCTCCCTTACCTGTCTGTGTCAGTGACAGGGCTGGGCTGGTTTCTGCTCCATCCCAGCTCCTCCAGGACGCGCTGTGACCCAGAGGACATTCTGCTGCCTGAGCAGGAATTCTGCTGCCTGACGGGGGCACTGAGAGCAAACTGCCGCCCTACCTTGGAAGGGCCGAGCTCATCAGGCACAGGAAGCCCGGAGTCAGATCTTCTCCCAGGAGAATGCCCATCCTGCAGAGTGGGCCGGGACTGGCTCGCGGGGAGGCTGGCCCACCGCCTCTACATGTGGCAGGGCTGAGCTAGGCCCTGTACCTGACCTCAGCCTCCGTCTCCCTGATGTGCAGAGTTCAATTTGACTCAGGGGCACAGGTATCTCTAGGGTGAGGAAAGGATCCCATGGAACACTGATTTTCCCACCCACCTCCTGCCAGGTGTCAATGTCAATGACATTAAGGTTCATACAGTTGGGGCTCAGGCGGGTCCAAGGACAGGTGGCTGGGAGCAGGCCAGATCAGGAAGGTGGAAGAAGGGCATCACAGCCAGTTCCCTCCTGCTTCTGAGCCTCGGTGGCCCCATCCATCAAATGGGGGCAGGGTGGCAAACACATAGCCCAGTGGCCACCAACCCAGGCTGATACACCTACCCAGGCACAGGGAATGCATTACACCACAGCTCCAGGCCCCCCCAGGAAGACCTTTCCTCAGATGCCCAGGTGGGAAGGAGCAGGTATTTTGTTTTAAAAGTTCTCCAGGGTTCTGTGCTCTGAACACAGTGAGGTACCGGGTGGGTGGCCTGAGGCAGGCAGGGTGTTCCAGGGAGGGAAGGCTGAGGTTCAAAGCAGAACAAGGAAGCAGAGGCTGGGCCGAGTCCCCCAGCACAGGCCACACAGGGCATGCAGCCCCTCTTCCAAGGAGTCGGTAGGCCTGGGTGGGAAAGGTCCCCTCAGCACAGGAGCTACAGCGGATGTCACCTGAAACATCTGGGAAATCACATCTGGTCAGAACGTGCTTCAATGACTGACTTTGCAGAATAGCCCTGGTGCCCACCTGGGGGGCAGGACATGCGCTGGGCTCTGACTCACCAGTGGACCTGGTGGCTGCTCTCAGGACACTGGGAGGGTGGGCAGGACGGCCAGGTTTGGGTGAAGGGCAGCGAGCTCTGCCCTCCTAGGAAGCTGAGTGCAGCAGACCCAAGCTGCTGGAAACGACTGAGGGAAGGTCTCTCCAACGCTCTGAGCCTCCGGTCTTCCTTGTAAGACACGGGCTAACTCCCACCTTGACAGGGGTTATGAGATTAGATGGCGTGTTGTTTACAAGTCCTGGTTGGCCCTGCTTAGCCCAACACTGCATGCAGGAGGGATCAGAGGGACAAGGGCCTCCAGAGCACAGCATGGGGACTGCTGCCACGCATCAGGGCTTTCCCAAAACCCAAACCCAAACCCTATCGGGGAAGCCTGGACTGGGACTTGCAGAGCTCCTGTCTGTGGTTGAATTCTGACACCCGGGGGCCTTGGCATAGGCCGGGTGCCAAGGTCAGCACATGTACTGACCCTGAGGGGCAAACGTCTCTGTTGTCTCTAAGGCCCCGGCAAGCTGGGGTGGCCCAGAGTAAGGGGTGACCAGGAGTGGAAGGTCAGTGTGTGTGCAGGTGCAGGTGGGGCGTCGGCCTGGCCTGTGCTCAGGGCTCAGCTCCCAAGCCTTGCGTTCCTTGAATGGGGAACAGGGGGCCTCTGCTTCCTGCTCTGGGAAGACGAGCCTGAAACCCGAGGAGGAGAGCTCTCAGGTGAGAAGATGAGGTTGGAGAATCACAGACTGTCAGGGCATAGGCCCAATGGCGAGTCTGAGGCTGGGTCCTTCCTCAGCTGCTTGCACGCCCTCGGCTGGGACGCCCAGCACTACCTTCCGAGCCTCACCTTCCTAGTCCACACAAGCTGTCTAAAAGGGTTCATCTGAAGCCCAGTAAATACCCGTCTTCCACCTATGGTCCTACCCCTGTCCCTGGGGGTCAGACAGCAGCCTCCAAGAAGCAGCCTCCCAGGTTGCTAGCTTAAAGACATAATCCAAACACAGTCACCTCTGCACGTATTAGAAAGCTTTGCTGCGTTATTTAGAACAGTGAAAACTGGATCCAAGCTATGTTTCCAACCACATGAGACCAATTAAGTAAATCATCGCGTGCCCACCCCACTCTCGGGCAGTCATTTAACGTTTAGAGTCTGAACAACATGGGAGATGTTTGAGGAACTTTAAGTGAAAAAGCGTGACTAAGAAACCTGTGTAGAGAAATCAGGTATTCTTTTAAAAGCCTCTGGAAAGATCAGAGGACAGGACTTTGCAAACTCAGTAGTGTGTCTCTGGGTAACTGGAACTAGGAATAATCGTTTCCTCTCTCTTCTGTTTTCCAGTTTCTGTAACATGCATATAACATTTTTTTATACTGGAAAACAATTTGTTTGGGAAATCCAAGGTTGTTTTTTAACAAGTCTCCTGCTTGGGGTTTCTTTTCAGCAGCTTCATGGTGTGGCTGGTACAAGCCTCCCCAGCCGGATGAAGGAGGCAAGGAGACCCAGGACAGTGAGGGGACAGCGCATGCTGTGGAAGTTCCTCTGCAGAAGGCTGGAAGCCAGAGGCGGAAATGACTCCCCAAGGCCGCAGAGCAGGGCAGCACAGTGTCCTCACCCTGGCTGGGGGTGCCTGCGCGGCCACTGCAGAGTCGTCCGTGCAGCTGTGGTCCTCGGCCTCTTGAAAGTGTGAGGTCCAGCGTCCTCAGGTTCCCCCGAAAGGACCCAGAGTCTCAGCTTCAGGAGAGAGCCTCCGGGGCTGCTCCAGCCCCAGAACGGGTAGAGGCCGGAACCCACAACCCTTAAAATAGGGCCAGGAACTGAAAGAGGCTCTGCTGCCATGCCACACGGCCACACTTCCTCCCCACCGTGCTGGCCCACAACCAGCTCTGACTGCCTTGGGGTTGGAGG